TTTATTATTATTATTATTATTTACAATAAATTTGAGCAGGGGTCGCACAACCCATATGCCCATATGAATACAATGTTATATAGTGTGCTATTAAATGTTACATTAAAATAATTACATATTAAGCACTAACTAACTAAATGAATCGGAGGCGTCGGCTTCTTTATTCACAAAAGAATTGCTAACAGAATTGTGTCAATAAACCAAATCTCAACAAAAGTGGTCTACTTAAACATCAAAATAAACGCCAGATACATCCTAAAGTTCATTCAAGTGTACACCCCTACTACAGGACATCCAGACGAAGAAGTACAAATATTCTACGACCAAATATCCTGTGCAACCAAGGAAAATCCTGGCCACTTCTTAATAATAGGTGGTAACTTCAACGCCAAAATAGGCACTAAGGAAGACCCCTCTGAAATAATATTGGGAAATTTTGGAAGCGAAGGCAGAAATGATAAAGGCAAACAACTACTGACTTTTCTTTTGGAAAACAATCTCTATCAAATGAACAGCTTCTTTAAAAAGAAAAAACACAGAAGATGGACATGGGAAAGTCCTGATGGAAAAACAAGGAACGAAATCGACTATTTCTTAACAAACAAAAAAGAATTATTTAAAGACGTAAATGTGCTAAACCAGTTCAGTACAAGCAGTGATCATAGGTTCTTCTTCTTCTTCTACGGCACTACAGCCCAAAATGAGCCTTGGCCTCCTTTATTTTTTGCCTCCACCCTTGTCTGTCTGTGGCTGCTCTTCTCCATACACGGACTCCTAAAAGTGCTTGTGCACTTTTAGGAGTCCGTGATCCTGCTTACTGTGATCCTGCTTACTGTGTCTTCTCAGCGCTTTCTTGGCTTTCCAACTGGTCTCTTTCCCTGCATTCTGGCGTTCAGTGCTCGTTTTGGTAGCCTATCCTCTCCCATTCGTATCACATGTCCGGCCCATTGCAATCTTTGTATTCTAATGAAGTCTGACAGGTGTGTTTCCTTATACAGTTGATAGAGCTCGTTGTTATATCGAATTCTGAAGATTCCGTTTTCCCTCACAGGTCCTAGTATTCTCCTCAGTACTTTTCTTTCGAATGTGTCGAGTTTGTTTTTGGATGTTTCTTTCAGGACCCATGCTTCGCTGCCATAACATGCTATTGGCCGAATTAAAGTTTTATAGATTCTCATCTTTGTATTTCGGTGGACACTTTTAGACCGAAATATATGGAAGAGGGCAAAATAAGCTTTGTTTGCCTGCGTTATCCTTTTTCGTATTTCTCCATCCTCTGCTCCATCGGCATATATTTCTACTCCCAGGTATGTAAACTTTCCAACCGTTTCAATGTCATCTTCATGTATAATGTTTTGTGGGATTATATTTCTTCTCGTCTGTACCATTATTTTTGTTTTTTCTGTGTTAATTTCCAGACCTAGCCTTTTCGTTTGTGTTTTTAACTCTGCGTATGCTTCCTGTGCTCCTGTTGATGTTCTACTCATAATATTAATATCATCAGCGTAGGCAGCCAGTTGAACCGTTTTATTGGTCAGTAGGTTTTCTCGTCCAGTTTGCATTTGCCTAACCGCATACTCCAGTGCCAGGTTAAACAATGTTGGTGCCAGCCCATCTCCCTGCTTTAGTCCCTGCGAGATTTTGAAAAAGTCTGTCCGGTTGTTTTGTATTCGTACACATGCCTGAGTTTCATCCATTGTGGCTTTAATGAGTCTAATTAGCTTATGTGGTATTGCTAATTCTGCCAATATATAGTATAGTCTGTCCCTTTTGACTGAATCGTATGCCTGTTTGAAGTCTACAAACACGTTGTGAACATCAATGTCGTGTTCCCACGATTTGCTCAAGACCTGCTTGACTGTAAATATTTGATCCATTGTCGATCTTCCCCGTCTGAAGCCCGTCTGATATTCTCCAATAATATTTTCTGCTAGTGGTTGGAGTCGCTGGTTTATAATATACGTGAGGACTTTATACGCTGTACATAGTAGAGAAATTCCACGGTAGTTTTTGCATTGGAGTTTGTCTCCTTTTTTATAGATTGGGCATACTATACTTTTCTTCCATTCGTCGGGTATTTTCTCTTCTTGCCATATTTCTTTGATAAGCGCGTGCATATGACTTGATAGGTGGTTGCCACCTACCTTATACAGTTCTGCTGGAATCTCGTCAACTCCCGGGCTTTATTGTTTTTCTGGGCCTTAATAGCTTCGAGAACTTCCTCTATGGTTGGAGCTTCTACTTCAACTTCGTTCTCTTCTACATGGTTCGTACCCATTTCATCTTCCATATCTACTTGTGTTCCAAGTAGGGTCTGAAAATAATGCTTCCAGGTTTCTGTGACTTTCTGTTGGTCACTGATTATTTGCCCACTTTCATCTTTGCGTAGGCTTGTTTGAGGTTTATATCCACTTTTTATCTTTTTTAGGTATTCGTAAGCTCCTCTAATTTCGTTTTTTTTTGAAATTTTGTTCCATTTCTTCTATTTGTCCATTTTCATAAGCTCTCTTTTTGTTTCTGCATATCTTGTCTGCTTTCCGTCTTGCGACTTCAAATGATGTTCGTCTTTCCCGTGTTCTTCTTGTTATGTACATTTTATGCGCTTCGTTTCTTTCTTCTATCGCTTGCCTGCACTCGTCATCAAACCATGTTCCTCTTTCTTCTTTTTCTTGTTTCCCACGGTGGACGCTGCTGCTGTCAGCACTGCTGTTTTGATATTATTCCATTTGCTCTCTATGGAGTGCAGTTCTTGTGTCCTTAGCTCATTTGTGACTTCTTGCTCGAACTTCTCTCTACAATCCTGAGTCTTCAGTTTTTCCAGGTCTAGTTTGTTTGTTCTTTGTTGTCTTTCGTTTCTTTCTCTGTTAACTCTGCACCTAAATTTGGTTTGCAGTAAAAGATGGTCTGATCCACAGCATGCTCCTCGTCGTGTTCTCACATCAGAGATACTACTGGCTGCCCTTTTGTCTATCATCACATGGTCAATTTGATTGGTTGTGGTTCCATCTGGTGAGATCCACGTCATTTTGTGTATGTCTTTATGTGGGAAGCATGTGGAGCTTATAACCATGTTTTTACTGGTGGCAAAATTTATCAAAAACTCCCCATTCTCGCTTGTTTCATTGTGCAGTGAGTGTTTTCCTGTTGTGCCATAGAACTGCGGTTCCTTGCCTATTTTGGCATTCATATCACCCATTATAACCTTAATGTCATTTTTTGGCGCGTTGTCATATACTATCTCCAGCTGTTGGTAGAAGCTTTCCTTTGTATGTTGCTCTTGTTCATCTGTTGGGCAGTAGATGTTTATCATAGTAAGGTTGAAGAAGTGGGTGCGAATTCTTAGTTTGCATATCCTTTCATTCATTGCCTGGAAGTCTATGATTTTTGACTTAAAATCATTATCTACCACAAATGCAACTCCATATTCTTTGATTCCTTGTTCTTTGCCACTATATAGAATTGTGTGCGTTTTGGTGTCCCTGACACCTTTCCCCAGCCATCTTGTCTCCTGAAGAGCAGTGATCATAAGATTATATCTTTTTAGTTCTTGTAGAAGTGCAGTTTGAGCTCCTGGTCTATTTAGCGTCCTCACATTCCAACTTCCAAATGCATAGTCCATGTTTCGTAGCTTTAGTCGTTTCCGAAGGTTCCCCTTATTCCGAGGCAAATGTTTAGGTTTCATAACAGTGTGTTTTTCCGGGAGTGGGTTGTTAGCCCACTGCCCAACCTTCCTCCTTTACCCGGGCTTAGGACCGGCAATGGTGACTCCTGAGCTATTCAATCTACCCATTAGTCACCACAGGCGGAGTTGATCATAGGTTAGTAAGAGCTAAAATAACGATATCAACCGAAAAAGAAAGACTCAAAATGATAAATAAGAAACAACCAAAGAAATGAACAAAACCAACTAACATTCAGGAGTTCGAAAAATATATTGGGAATTCATTGAAAGATACAACAACAGCTGACATCAATATATTGAACAAACAAATAGTCAACACAATGCAACAGACTCAAACTAAATATTATCCGATAAGCCAAAAAGGTGAAAAACTGAGTCAACCCACGAAAACCCTTATAGAACTAAGGCGACAAATGAAAGGAGATAACACTGCAAGCAAAGAAGCGATAAATCAAATAAATAAGACGATCACAAAGGCAATAAGAAAAGACATAAGAAACTACAATGTAGAAAGAACAAAACAGGCAATAGAGAAAAATAAGAACATGAAAGTTTTGAAGAGGAGCGTACAAAAGGGGAAAATAGAAATTAACAAACTGAGAAACAGAACTGGAGAAGAAACAACGAACAGAGATGAAATATTAAGAATAGTCGAAGAGTTCTACACAGAGTTAATATAGATCAAGAAAAAAAGATAACAATACGGAACCTCCAATTACATTAAAATCTGGGGTATTCATTCAAGGATCAGATTTAATGCCCAATATAACAAAATCAGAAATCAAAGAAGCGCTGAAGAAAACTGGATTCCTTATACCGCCGAAAACATCATTCCAATCAATATCAGCCAGTTGGCGATTTGCATTTTTTCGTAGTTTTTGCATTTATTCGTAGTATTCCTTTTTCTATAAAATTAAACAAAAAATGAGTTATTTAAAGGTTGTGCTTATCAAATAAAGTATTTTTACTTTTATATCTTCGTTTATCTAGGTATTTCTAGAGAAGATTTCTATTTTTATTCAAATTTTATGAATATTGTGATGGATTATTGTCGATATTTCATTTTAGTAATCTAGTTTTAGTAAATCTATTGCTAGTTGTATTCAACCTGCTATTTAAATTTCTTTGAAGTTATATTTTTTCATTGGATATAAACAAAAATGATTCATGTAAAGGTTGTTTTTATCAAATAAAATATTGCTACTTTTATATCATTATTTATTTAGGTATTTCTAGATGAGACTATTTTTCTGGGAAAATGAATTTATCTTTATGATCTAATTTATCTGATCTGATAGATCAATGCATTCAATATATATAGCTACACAAAAGATTACTACTTGTGTATAAACTAAATAAGTTATCATAATGAAGATATTTATAGTGCTTTGTTTAGTAGCAATCTTCTGCACTGCTACTACCTTGGGTAAGTTCGATTAAGTATAAGAAAGTACGTACTATAGGCGTTTTTGAACGAACCTCTATTGAATCCAAAATTTATTATTTTCATCCTCAGCAAGTATCACTTGTTACAACTTCATCATCATTATAATAATCATAATTGATCTTTGATACTCTATGTAGGATCATGTTTGTCATTTAGCCTGATAATGATTGTAAAATTAATCGAACCCACTTTATAATCTTTGGTCTTGTTTAAGATTTTTTTTGTATTTGTTTATGTTTACCTTTTGTTTTTCTATCAACTAGTGTATTATTTCACGGTCGTTTTTTATTTTTTTTTAATTAATTATTATAATTGTCTTTTAAAATAATTTAAAAAATAATTTAAAATAATTAGTTAATTGCCTATCCGTTACGAATGTTAGCGATCATCAATGCAATCCTTATCGTAACTGCAGCAGCGCGGAAAAGCCTATTGAACTAGATTCTGAGGTTCTTTAACCAAGATTCTCCTCTTCTTCCTGGACCTCGTTTTCCAAATATTTTTCCTTGCAGGATGGCTTGAGGGAGGGCATATCTGGATTCATTTCGCATAATATGTCCAAAGAACCCATTTTTGTACCTGAATAATTTAATGTTACATACGTATCTCGTATAGCGTTTTCTGTTCTCCCAACAATATGGATATCATAAGCATAGACCAGGATTTGCACTGATTTATTGTATATTAAACCAGTGGTTGTGATTTGTGACATAGGTAAGACTTTTTCCAGAACCAGATTGAACAATATACATGAGAGGGGGTCTCCCTGGTGCAGCCCGTTATTTGTTTTAAAAGGTTCAGACATTTCCCCCTGAATTCGTACTCTACATTCAACTTTTTCAAGAGTTAGTTTTGTTAAATTTACCAACTGATTTGGTATTCCTAGCTCTTTCATTGCTTTGAATATTTCTCTTCTATTCAAAGAGTTCTAGCCTACTTTGTAGTCTATAAATATGTAATGGGTCTTCTCTTCTTGATGTGCCTATTCGTTATGAATGTTGGCGATCATCATGGCAATCTTTATCTTATCTGCAGCAGCGTGGAAAAGTTGTACAGATGTTGTATTGATCCAGATTCTGAGGTTTTTTAACCAATATGTTCTTCTTCTTCCTGGACCTGGCTTTCCAAATATTTTTCCTTGCAGGATGGCTTGAAGGAGAGCATATTTGGATTCATTTCGCATAATATGTCCGAAGAATTGTAACTTTCGAGATTTGATGGTGGTCAGCACCTCTCGGTTCTTATTCATTATTCTGAGTGAGGACCTCCTCATTTGTGACTCGGTCAGTCCATGGGATCTTAAGTATTCTCCGATATAGCCATATTTCAAATGCTTCCAGTTTTCTGCACATATCTTCGTTCAAGGTCCACGATTCAACACCATAAAAAAGAAAAGAGAAGACGTAGCATCGCAGCATTCTTAATATTGTATCAAAAGAGACGTTGTGACTCTTGAAGAAGGCCCCCATCCGATTGAAGGTGAATCTAGCTTTTCCGATGCGTGCTCTAATCTCCTGTTTGTTGGTCCATTCTTCATGTATTGTGGAATAATAAAACGTAATGTACTTGTTTCACAATACAGCCGTTGAAGATTAAACCGTTACACAAGACAATCACCAAATTTTATTTGAAGAAACCTAAGCACTTAGTAGAATGTTACACTACTATCCACACATATTTAGAGAGGTTAAAAAACTACAAAAACACCCTGTCAGTTTTAGTCTCAAAGAAGAGAGTCTCCATCTAAACACATGTAAGAAATACAAAATCTGCATCTTTGTTGATAATGTCTGCCGCAGTTGTAGATGACGAGACATCAGCAATAATTTTAAACGACATCCTATAAATTACGAAAATCTATGTAAATAATCTAATATCCATAGATGAAATTTTATTGATTAATCGAAACAAGAAGAATATAGTGGAAGACCATCTCCCTAAATTATTAAAACGAGTGCTTTGAATTCAAAAAATATTTGCAACAGTTAAACCTTCGGAATAAACTTTTGTACATAAATATCATTAAAAAGTTTTTTAATGCCAACGTAACATCTTTGACATCTGATACACAGCGCTCTATTTTTTGTTTTTTTTTAATTAGGTATGCATTGTAGGTGATTGAAAAACTCTGCAAAAGTTTTAGGTGCTGTTCATGAACGAAAAATGAATTTGACTATCGTCCACAAATATCTTACACAATTAATTTTCAATTTGCTAAAATCGGAAAATTAAATATAACAAAAGCCGTAATACCGAGTTCTATGTGGTATTTCTAATGCTATTGATGCAATATTACAAAAATTAAATCAAATTATACATTTTGGTAGCTTCTTAAGTATTCATCAAAGGGATGGTTCACAAATATTATCTATAAGATTACATATTACTATCTTTTTCCAAATATAGTGTGTCTGCGTAAGTTGACAGAATATGGGAAACTTTTTTAATAATAAATTTTACTAAAAAATTTTATTATTTCTAAAAAGTTCTGCCTAAAATCAACAAATTTGAGTTTTGCTAAAGAATATCAGCATCATCTTTCTCCACCAAGCACATATTCCCATATTTCTCATGTCTTTAACGATGTTATCAAGAAACCTTGTTCTGGGTCTTGTGTTTCTTCTCTGACCAATGAGTCTATCAAGGAGCCTTTTTCTAGCTGGGTCATTTTGTTCCTTTTGCATTACATGCCCTATACTGTTACTGTTGGTGATGTTTTCCTAGTACCGTTCTGCAATTGTTACATCTCTCAGCTTTTGCACATTCCATTTTTTTTAAGCATTTTATTTTCTTTACTGGTGTTTCACTGGTATTTACTACTGCTGGTAATTCTAGCCCTCAATGTTGAGATCACTAGGTAATGATCTGTGTCTGTTTGAGCCTCTATAACTTCTGCAGGTTATTACTTCTGTTTCATGCCTTGAATCTATTAAGATGTGATCAATCTGACTCGTTCTTCTTCCATCAGGAGAGGTCCAGGTTACATTGCGTATGTTCTTGTGTTCAATATAGGTAGCGACTGTCATATGTTGTGCTGCTGCTAAGTTTATCAGTCGTAATCCATTATCGCTACTGATGTTGTGTAGGCCATGCTTTCCTATCGTGGGCATGGAAATTTACTCTCGTCATATTCTTGCGTTCATGTCACCTAATACAATTTTAATGTCATTTCCGGGACATCTCCAGTAGGTTTGCTAAAAGAACTGTTCTTTTACATTCCTAACCATACGGGGAGTTATACCATGAGTTATTTCGGTAATTATTCTCTTATAATGGTCAACAGATTGGCCAAATGGAAACAAAATGGCCGCTGCAGGTACAACTGTTGCGTTAAATAAACCCACAAAAAAGTGGATTTAAATCTAGAGGGCAAGAAATTTCGGGAAAACAAAAAACTCTTCCATTGAAAATATTTTCAATGTATTGATGTACATCTAATATCTCTAAATGGGTTATATTACAAGTTTCCTTATACTCATATTACAATAGAATTCAAATCATCTATCATTATTTCCTGGTCTTAAAATATGAATTTTTTGAGATTTGTAAGGGTGATTTAGAATCCTTGAAACCGTATCTTTTTTACATCATTTAGCCATTCATTTTTATGTAGATGTCGGAAATAAAAAATGGGTGCAACTTCTCGAATTGTTTTATACTTTTCATTTACTATTAGCAAAATCTCAATTTTCTTTTCCAGATTTAATGTTGCAGACATTTCTAGCTTTTCATAAACAAATACTCTTTCAGACATGAAACGGTTTTGACAGTTTCAAATTTTACATTCCATTAATGTGCAAACATAAATTTTCTATGTTATTCCAGAGAAATGTCGAACACATTCGTTTTGTTAATGTATATTACCAATGTTAAATATTTTAAAATTATTCCAAATTATTTATAATTCCAAAAATCTTTTCTTTATAATAATTTTCGATATTGTCAAAAACAAAGATGCTTTATTCCTTAAAAAATCACATGTTTTGACAAACGTAGTATAAAATTAATAAAATATAATATCTGATAGTTGCATTTCAGGTTTTGGACTATGCAAAACTATTCATAAACAATATATTTTTTGTAAAATTAATATTAAAAAAGGTACACTGTACATAATTATTTTTGGACAAATTAGAATATACCGTAATCAGTTTTTCTTCTTGTTTTCTCTTTTCCTTGTATGTCCTTTTCCAAAGAAAACAAAACATACACACATAAAAGTTTTTATTTATATCAAACATTTTTTTTTTGTAGGCTCAGGAAAAAACATCGTATGTTATTTCGCCAGCTGGACAGTTTATAGAAACGGAGATGGATCTTTCGATGTGCGTAACATAGATCCATCTTTGTGTACCCATATCAATTTTGCTTTCATTGGCCTTAACGAAGATGCCTCCATTCACATTTTAGATTCATGGGAATCAAATGATCCCTCAGGCTACGGTGAGTTCAAACTATTAGAAAAAGCTTATGAGGAGTACTTATGAAAGTCATGAAACAAACAAAATAATATTAAATGGAAATATATATAATACAAATAGGTTGAATACACATATTTACTGAAAAAAACCTACGAAAATTTACTTATTTTTCCAATAAACTAGTATAGTGATACACCTCCAATATTACTCTAGCATTCCTAATATATGCGTTTCTGTTACTGTTTTTAGTTTTTGAAATGTTACATTTAATTAAATAGACTTCTGCTGATTATCTAAGACCGAATATACTCAGTTAAATAACTTTACATTTCAAACTTTTCAAAAATACATCTTTACGCAAGTTTCCGCAAAAAAATGAAGAATTTTTTGATTCTTACTAAAAAGGGTTCTTTAAAAATATCGCTAACCAAATTAAGATACCTATGAAAATGTCTAACTTTATTCACATAAATCACTAAAGCAGAAGAATAGTAATAAGAAAATAGAATAGTTTCTTCTAATATTTGTGTCAGTATTTGTCCTTTTATCATTCTAAATGACGTTTCCTTGACAGCTATTGATGAATTTAGATTGCCGCAAAATACATATAAGTTCCATTAAAACATTAATGTAAATTTTACTTATTTCGATCAATCAAGCTTATGTTTTAAGTTGTACTTTCAGCTTTGCCTTATAGAATTGGTGATAAATTTCCTGACTGTAGGTTTAAGTTACTCCATCGTCTTATTGTTCAGTGCATACTTAAAACAGTATTCTCCAGTCGTCAGAGACGAAAATGCCACTGAACCTCTAAAATGCATACGAACAAGCTGAATTTTGCTGAGAATGTCAATGTTGGGACTTCAAAAAATATGCAAAAAGTTTACCTTTTCTACCCTTCGGTTCCCAATAAAACTCCCCTCCTAGGGGAAGAAGGAAACGTCAAAAATACCAAAAATTTGTACGCGGTAGAAAAAATATTTCAAATAAAAAATGTAGCCAAGATAATTTTGAACAAAACTGTTTAGTAGCACTTTCTCTGAAGATTGAAACGTTCTCTTAGAAACAACGATTGAAGCGGACAGCGATTTGAAATGTCAGTTACACGAGCGAAATCAATTTTATATAAAATGTGTATCAACTCGACGGTACAAATTCGGTGTCTTTTGATCAGAGTGTATTTTGGTGAATGTATTTTAAATATGAAGGCTGCAACTTTCATATGCAATTTTTGCATTTTGCCGCAAATAAAGTCAATTTCGATAAAGGTGTTAAAGAAATAAATATTGCGATTTAATCTGTACTTAATTGACTTAATTGCACAATGACCAAAATATGGAACAGTAAGTCAATCAGAAAGGATAAATATATATGCCACTAAAATGTTCTGCTGGAGAAGAATGTTGCAAATTCCATGGACCGACCGTAGAACAAATAATTCTATTCTAAAAGAACTAAAGATCTGTACAAGGCTCTCCGGAAAAATCCAACTACAACAATTTAAATATTTTGGACATGTTGGACAGACATAGGCAATATGGAGAGACTCATTATTCAAGGGAATGTCGAAAGCCGAAGACTACGAGGAAGATCTCCAACGAGATTGACCAAATCACAGAAAGTTGCAAAAAACCTATGCATGATGTAATAGAAATTAACATAGACAGAAATCTATGGAAACAGATCATACACGATATCACGACGAACACTACACTTCCTCTAGGAGGCCAAGACTGAATAGAAAGATAAATTTTGGTTACTACTTTTTCTTTATTAGGTTCGTTTCGAAGTATTTAAATTTTGCACTTTTAGGTTCGCTTTTTATCTGAGATTGGTAACGACTGTACTGTCGTCTGACCCCACGTCCATTCCTGGGCAGGTTTTTACACTCTGGATACTTGATTTAAATCTGTGATTAATCAGAGCATTTAAGTAAATGTGCAGCTGGATCAGTGAAGATCCAAATCTTGATTTAGAAGCGAAGCTCTTCAATTGCGAAGCCTCGTACGCGATAGATTACTCGATTTTCAAATAAAATACAATTTTGTGAAGTGTTATATATATTTGCCACTGTTAAATGAAGTTGATTCGTGAACAGACGTTCAGACAGAGTTTGAACAGAGTTTGAACAGACGTGAAGCATTTAAAACCTGGGTTCGCAGGCGAATGTTAGGAAGACGTTGAACTTTCCACACCACCAATTCGAAAGTTCTCGATCGGATAAGCAGAGAACATCAGCTCATTAAAATCATAAAAATCGATCATATCGAAAAATCATATCGAAATGAGAAACAACCGATACCATTTTCTACAGCTCGTAATCGGGGCTAATATTTAGGGTAAACGCGAACCAGGATGAAGACAGTGCTCTTGACTTAAAAACATACGAGATTGGACAGGCTTGGGCTTAAACGATTTACTGAAAAAGACATAAACCAGACAAGAATTTGCCAAGCATTTTTGACGATCTTCGATAGAAGAAGGCACTCGAAGAAGATGATTAAAAGCCACATTGATTTGATTCCTTAATATTGTGTGATCATTGTCTTAAAGTGATTTTCATGTATGGATTCGCCTGGGAGGTAGTTTAAACCAGTTACTTTTTCTCTTTTTCAGTATTTCATTATTTCATTAAATATGTACAACTAAACAAAATATCGAATCTATAAATGAGAGCCACATTAATAATTTTTTCTTTACATTCATATAAAGTATGCATAAAATTGAAAAAAGAACAGTAAAAATTTGTAACAGCACCAATAAAAAATTCCGTCAAGACACAAAGTGACAAATGGCATATTAGAAATAAAAAATAAATGTAGGTAGAGAGAAATTAAATTTATTTAGATATAGAGACGTCATTTTATTTATATATAGAGAAAATAATTTCAGAAAAATAGTAGTCAAGTAAGCAGTGGATTTAAGATAGTTGATGATAATGATGATCAATTTTATATCTATTAATATTTACTAATGAACATTACCTTTTACAGAGGGCTTTAAAAATCTGGTAGCACTAAAAGAATCAAATCCAGATCTTAAAATAAGTGTAAGTATGGGTGGCTGGAACGAAGGATCCGAGGTATACTCAGAAGTAGCTTCAGATGCATATAAAAGAAAAATCTTTGCTAACCATATTTTAAACTTTGTAAAAGAGTGGAACTTTGATGGATTTGATCTAGATTGGGAATATCCTGGATTAAGAGGAGGAAACTCAACCATTGACAAGGTAAGTTCTATTTGATTCATTGTAAATCATATTTTTAAATAACTATTTTTTATACTCGTGGTTTGCTTTTAGTGTTCTTTGTGGCATTTTTAATATTTTGACTGTTAATGTCAATTATTAACAAACAAATAAGTACTTCGACAAATAAGTTCGTCCGTCTAGCTCTAAGATATATTTTCAACTACTGTTTCGTATATTCTATTTTTACGAAATTAACATGTACATTGCTTATGTTTTATTTTCCTAACTTTTTTTTAACTTTTTTAACACAGTCGTTAAATGAATTAATTTAAATTGTGCCTATTTCTATACTTACAGATATACAGGAACATATATTCATATACAGTGTGTTCAAAAAGTAATGCTTAAAATTCACAATTTTATTCCTGATCGAGTTTGGAAAAACACAAAAACAGGTCGATTTTTATTTTCAAACAATATTTTTTTTTGTTTCACTTTTATTTTTTGTCTGTTATACTTGTCGAAGTAATAACGTTTAAAAAATAGGAGGTGAGATTATGCACATAATAGTGCATCAATATCACCAAATAAACAGAATGGATAAAGTAGATATATAACCTATCCCTATAACAATCAATGGTTGCAACATTGAGATGAAACCATGCTTTATATATTTGGGAACTTCGTTGAGTAATGAAAATACATGCGAGGAAGTGATAACGGCGAGGATTGAAATGGCACGTAGAACATTTTGCAAATGAATACTTACCATTACAAATAGCAACCTCTCATTTCAAACGCTATTACGAACACTACGATGTTATCTTTGGAGCATCATTCTTTATGGATGTTAGACATGGACGCTTAAACCTAATACCATGAATACAATAGAAGCCTTTAACATGTTAAAGTTATGACTAAAAAAAAATATAATAAAATATATTAAACAAATGTAGTATACAGCATTAGTTGTACTCAGTGTGAAGCTGAGTATGTTGGTGAGACCGGAAGAAATCTCTCAAATCGCATTATTTCTCACAAAAGTGATTGCAGAATTAAGAAACCATCTTGTGCTTTGGCAGAGCATGTAATAGACAAAGACCATATATTATGGATTTTGATATTAAAATTTTATGTAGTGAAAGTAATAAATTTAAAAGAACTTTTTTGAAAATGGTTTGTATTAGCAAAAGTGATAATAATTTAAACAAAAGGTCAGAAATTCAAAATCTAAGCAAAATTTATAATTATATTATTTCTATGTAGTTTATATATGAAATCAGTAAAATACCACATTTTGATTTAATTTTCCATGTCTTTGTTACATTTTTTCAGGCATCTATCAATGGTGAATAAATCTTCTTCTTTTTTGTTACTAAACAAAAAAGAATTTTTAAACAAAATTTTATTTTTGACAATATAATTGTCAAAGATAAAAATTATGACATTGAGGCTTATTTGTAACTATCAATTTTATTTACAAATTCAATTGTTTTTGTTAAGAAACTTTTTCAAATTTATATTAAAATTTCAGAGAAACATTTATTAGAATAGAACATTTTTGTATTAATATTTTTTGTAATATGTTAGCAGCATTTTTATATACAAAACTAATTTTATTTGGTGAGTTAACAAAATTTTTTATTTCTAGTTCAACTTTGTAAGATATTTTGTATTTTTTAGCAGCTCTTGATAATAATTGTAAACACAATTGAAAGCTCGTTTAAAAAATAGGTAACAAATAGCCCCTTTTATTGACTCCCATCCAAAACAGTTATATATATATATATATATATATATATATATATATATATATATATATATATATATATATAACAAAATATTTTATAAATTAAAGTAATTAGAGATGGATAGGTAAGTTCTATAGCATTAATTTTGTCTCTGAAAGGACTATTTATTTCTTTAATTAAATATAAGTTATTTTATTTAATAAACCAAAGTTTATGACGTCATAACTTTGGCAAATATAACAGAAAAAAATTAGATGTGCAAAAAAATACAACTTTAAAATAAAAATCGGCCCGTGTTTGTTTTTTCTTCAACTTAGGAACACAATTATGAAAATAATGCGCTATTGTTGGGACACAATCTATTTTTTGTTGAGCAACAATATCAGTTTCTGGGGAATAATAATAATAATAATGTTTATTGATTTCAATTTACAAGAATGAAGGATAATTAGTAGTTTTTTTACATATATGTTAAGTTTGAGATATATTGTTTTTTTGCTTTTTGTTCCAAGATATCTCCAACTATTATTTTGAGATTTTATTAATGAAATTAAATAGTTGTTAAAAGTCTAGATTTTGTAAGAGAATAAATTTTTGGATCTCTTAATATATTTATTTAAAGATAAATTTAACTGTTAAGTCTATATTGTAGGACGATTTTACCGCACTTATTAAAGAACTCAGTAACGTTCTCAAGCCTAGAGGATACTTATTAACTATAGCGGCAGCAGGAGCAGTTGAAAAAATTGATGAAGCATATGATATTCCAGCGATTACAAAGTAAGTCAAAATGCTTATTTTTATAATACAACATACATATCACTTTATTACACAATTCATGGATTAAAGTACACGGACCGGCAAAAAAAGTGGCCACCCTATAAATTTCCGAAAATAAAAATTCATTAAAAGTTTTTAATATGAACTAGTGTTCATATTATATATTCAACATCTTTTATTTTTAAAACAAAAAATGGCCATTACTGCTTGATTCCTTAGCATAATTTATTTAATTAGAAGACTACAAAAGAAAATAGTGTAATATCGAAACGAATTATAAACAACAAAAATTATGGGTAAACTTGAAAAAAATTGGATAGTATCGGGTATTCTGCCCTAAAACATCAATAACCGTTTGCATACGATTTAGAAGGAAAAGGAACAAATTTTAAATAAAAACTTGAAGAATACGTCCATATTCTTTACGAAGCATGTTTTGAAGTTCTGCAAGACTTTCTCACTGGCCTAGCTTACTTCTAACCCTTCGATGAAGTTCATCTCAAAAATGTTCGATGATATTCAAATCAGAGTTACAGGCTGGCCGTTCTCTATGACTATTTTAGAGTCTAAGTCTATTAATTCCTACTTTCCCTAAGTAATTTGTCACGATTCTTGCAGTGTGCGGCAGTGTATTATCATGCATAAAGACGAACATGTACCCAATAAATGTACCAAATGGAACTATTACTTCTGCCAAAACATCCTCTATATACCGGTGAGCATTCAGGGAGCCATTAATGAAAATAAGATCAGTTAGAGCTTTAAACATTATGCGAAAGTTACTAGACGGATGGAAGGGTGGAATATCAGTAGGAGGTCGAAAAATCATTATCTTGAGATATGCTCATGACACTTTAATAATCGCGGCATATCAATAAGAAATTGAAGACATAATGAGATGTCTGTAGAAGAAAAGTAAAACATATGGCCTAAAGATAAATAGGAGTAAGACAAAAATTATGATAGTAGACAGAGCTCGGAATAATCTTCAACACATTAAAGAAATTGGGAGCTTTGAAGTAGTAAATAGTTTCATATACCTGGGGCCCCTAATAACAAATGACGGAGGGAGTGACAGAGAGATACGTAGAAGGTTGACTATTGCTAGAACAGCTATGATGAAACTGGTATCAATTTGGAAAAATTCTAGCATAACAATACACACAAAACAAACATAAAAACAAACTAGACGCTTTTGAAATGTCGCATTACCGCCGCATGTTAAGAATATCCTGAATTGATCATCGCACTAACGTATCAATATTAAAACAACTTAAAGTAAAAGATATATTGCTTAAACAAATACAACAGAGATATTTGAAGTATTTTGGACACATTGCTTGAAGAACAGGTACGATGGAAAAACTGATAGTCGAGGGTAGAGTTGAAGGAAAAAGATCTAGGGGAAGATCGCCTAGCCGTTGGGTAGATTAAACAAAAATACTGATTAACCAAGGGTTACATGAAGCCGAACAACTAGCCCAGGACAGAGAAGGATGGAGGGAAATCGTGAAAAAACTGTAAAGGTCTGATGGTGTCACCACATACCAAAAGGGATTAGGACTGAGGAGGAGGAGAGCTTCAATTGAGATTCCAGCACAAACCATGACACCACCACCGTTAAACTTTCTTACTTTCTTCTCTGGGATATACAAGCTTAGGCATAGCTTTAATTTCTTCGTCTCCGAACCGTCTTTCGGCCATCGTTGGACTTCAAAAAGAACCGCGATTCATCAGTAAAGAGAATTTGGCTTTAATCCTATATATGCCAGTGTTAATGTTATCGAGTAGAAATTAATCGATTCCTACAGTGTCTGGTTCGTAATTCGGGAATAGTAGCTGGCGTTTTTGTCATTAGTCCTCTTTCATTGAGGCACCTTCTAACCGTTCTCTCACTTACGAGTATATTCACATTACGAACCTTCTGCAGACGGTGTCTTGCAGCAATTGCAGTGGAATAATGATAGCTTAAAAGTTCCATCACAATAAAACGATAATCTCTTTGCGAGGTAACTCTTCTACGAACGAAACCAGCGACTACAGAAAATAACAACATAAACGTCAAAATTGTCAAAAACAAGCATAAATGACCTCAATAAATATTTAAATTAAGATGCAATATGAAACTGCGCAAAAAACTTTTTTATTTTTATAAAATTTTTATTTTCGGAAATTTATAGGTTGGCCACTTTTTTTGTCGTTCAGTGTAGTATAAAAGTGTATCACAAAAAAGATATATATGTATATAAATATATATATATATATATATATATATATAAATATATATAATATATAATATATAATATATATATATATATATATATATATATATATATATAAATATATATATATATATATATATATATATATATATATATATATATATATATATATAAATATATATATCTTTTTTGTGATACACTTTTATACTACACTGAACGACAAAAAAAGTGGCCACATATATATACAGTGTAGGAAAAATTTTATGGTCGGTATGGACCTTACGTGAGATGGAGTGAGAAACAGCTGTTTAGAAAGAGAGAGGTATATTAGGTCCGCCCTTTATATCGCCAAACATGCACGACTGGAAATAATAAAAAAGGGGAAATTCAACGTTGCCAAACTTATTGGATTTATTTCACCTGTTGTTTTTTTTTGCATTTGAACAATGTTCTAAGATAATCCAATTTGGGCGAAATTGATTTAAATGGCAGCTTACTCTTTTTTTTATTGGGAATATGCCACAAGTTTACTTTACAATAAGTGTAATATAAGATTTTGATTTCCACTTTGGAAATCGTTTTATATACCTAAATAAAATTTATTAATGTTTCGTATTTTAAGTACGATTTCCGAATTAAAAATCTAAACATCAAAATAAGCTTATTTTAAAGTCACATTGTGCCTTATTCCCAATATGAAATAATAAACTGCATACAATAACACCACATTAAAAAATATTCACACACAATAATTTATTTGGCAACGTCGTCCGTCTGGTCAGAATACCGAGTAACGGGTAGTAGAGGTGGGTCGTGATAATTTTATCGTTAAGAGCGTAAGAGCGATTAATATTTTTTAAATGCATTCATTTTTTTCGAATCCTGATAAAACTAATAAATATTCTTGAAAAATTTAATCGCAGAATGAACCAATACATTATTACCGAGGGCCAAAAGTCCCTGAAAACTTCTATAATGTTTATTTTAATAAGTTATAAGGGCGAAAAAAAAAATTAGTGTGATTTTTGATTTCAAATATCTCATTCAAAAAACTTTTTGTTTATTCTAAGGGACTTTCGGCCTTCGGTAATAATGTAATCTTTTATTCTGCATTTAAATTTTTCAAAAATATTTGTTAGTTTTCTCAGGATTCCAAAAAAAAATGAATGAATTTAAAAATTTAAATTTTTGTAAACAACTAACTATGATTGTTTAAAAGTAGTTTCAAGTAAGAGAGTACCTACATAAACAAACATAATGGCTATTATCGTTTATGTGTATATTTATTGAAGTGAAAGAAACTAATGATATATTTATTATAACTTGAAAAATAAACTAAACAATACAAATAGTAAATCGTACTTACATTTACATTACACGTTATTATTAAATCGCGAATAGTCTAAATTGACATTAAAAAACATAAGTTTTTCTACTATACCTACTTCTTATTAACCGTCTTCTTTTTTTATTCCAAATTAAACCAGATTTTGAACATGTGTTCACATTTACAATACTGTATGAATATAGGGGTTAAGTTAGGATATACATGGCGATGGTTTTTCCACCGTTGTAATGGACTCTCGATACAGGTGTACGTGTAGATGAGCCATCTCCAATTAATTGATCAAATATACACCATGGATTTAAGTCATCTTTATTGGTTTCTTTTTATTGTACTGGTTGATTTTCAATAGTACAATCTTCTTGTTCGTTAATTATAGAAGTAACCAGCTTCTTAACTTTTTCTTTTATTTTTTTATCTTCATTTTTATCAGAAAAACCCTGCACTTTAAATGGTGAATCCATAAATGTACATAATGACAATATGCCACTCTGTTCTATCCCTTTAAATATTTTTGCTAAACCCGATATTAGTAATTGTACTACGTCGGATACTATGGATGTAAGGTTACCGTTTGCTAAAATTTTCTTGCAAGATTGTTATGGTATGCAGGCCGCGTACCATAACAATCACTGAACTACCCTTCAAGTATTTTTGGTCACTCATTGTACTTGTTATTTCTTTAAACGGCCGTAAAATTTGGGAAATCTGAGAACAAATAATCCAGTGTTTTTTATTTAGATTTGGTCTAAGTCTAAGTCTGTATTATTTAATACCGATGTGGAACGGAAATACACGCCAGTACACCGAAAATATCAAAATACAGAGAAGAGTCCGCCAGGGTTGCGTGCTGTCCCCACTACTTTTCAATGTCTACAGTGATCGGTATTTTAAGAAGCGCTCTCTGACTCAATAGAAGGTATATCTATCAATGGAGAAGTTTTGAATAACTTACGTTTTGCAGACGATACAGTAATAATTACGGATAACAACAATGATTTACAGAACCTAATGCAACGCCTTAATGAACGCTGTCATGAGTACGGACTGAAGATAAATTTAAAGAAAACTAAATGCATAATCATGACTAAATCTGCACAAATATCTAATTGACTATTGAAGATACTGCAATTAAGAGTGTTAATAACTATAAATACTTAGGAACATGGATAACATCAGATGTAGAACAAATCAAAGAAATTAAGACATGTATTGAAATAGCACGTACATCATTTATTAAACTTAAAAAGTTCCTTTGTTGTCGGGATATAAGGTTAGAACTACGCCTGAGAATGCTTCGATGTTACGTGTTCTCTACTCTTCTTTATGGTCTGAAAGCTTGGACACTAAAACAAGTTCATCTGAATAAGTTGGCCGCCTTTGAATTTTGGTGTTACAGAAGAATCCTACGAATATCATGGATTCAAAAAATGTCAAACATTGAAGTAACTAGAAGGATAGGAAATGAGGCAGAAATAATATTAACTATTAAAAGACGAAAACTTGAGTACTTGGGACATGTGATGAGAGGGCAAAAATACGCATTATTACAACTTATTATGCAGGGCAAAATCCGAGAAAAGCGAAATCTGGGAAGACGAAGAATATCCTGGCTTAAGAACTTAAGGGAATGGTTTGAATGAAGTAGTGCAGACCTTTTTAGAGCGGCAGTCAACAGAGTCGGCATAGCCATGATGATTTCCAACCTTCGATAGAAGATGGAACTTAAAGAAGAAGAAGTGAAACGGATTGCCTCTTCTAACTCAGTCATTCTTTTTAACCTGTAATAGGTGAAGTTCTACCTAGTTTCCACGTCTTGGATTGGCCGTTTGGGAACTTTGTTATGTTGTAATTAAGCCTTTCTGAAGATAAGGTACTTTTTTTAATGTTTTTTGCAGAATTGTCGAAAAAAGGACTTTTTTTTATCTATTATCAAATCAGTTTTGACATAACATTCCTGAAGTAATCTGAGAATTCTAAATCTACAGTTTTTCTTGTTGGCGGTTTATATCCAGGAATCCACCCTGCAAACTTTTTAAAATCTGGTTCTTCACCTATAGAAAACGGATGAAACGAGTCTTTGCATAAGTTTAGTAAATCAATAAGTTTAGTCAAGAAAAAGAAACTGATAAAGATGACTTAAGTCCATTGTGTATTTTTGATGAATTAATTGGACATGACTCATCTAAACATACAACTGTATCGAGAGATATACAAGAAGTCGACATGTATTTGTCTAATAATATATTACCCACAATAAATTTCGAACGGAGATTGGAACTGTCCATTACCGTGGTGGAAAAACCATCGCCATGTATATCCTAACTTAGCCACTATATTCATAAAATATTGTAGAATTGTAACAAAATCTTTTCCTTGTGAACACATGTTTAAAATCTGGTTTAATTTTAAATAAAAGAAGAACACAGTTAACAAGAAAAGTAGAAAAACTTGTTTTTAAATGTCAATTTAGACGGTTCGCGATTTAATAATAACGTGTAATGTAAATGTAAGTACGATTTAATGTAAATGTAAGTACTATTTGTATTGTTTAATTTATTTTTCAAGTTATAATAAATATATCCTTCGTTAGGTTCTTTCACTTCAATACTTATACACATAAACGATAATAGCCAATATGTTTGTGTACTCGCTAATTTGAATCAACTAGTTACAGTTTACGAAAAACGGTTCCGATAAAAATTTAAAAAACGGGAGGACCCACCTCTAGTTTTTTAGGTATATTAGGATCGGAACCAGAGAATATGTAAAATATCTCTGATCGGAACTATTCGTCTCACTAATGGCCAATAGGTTTTAAAAATATTTGAGGAGGGGAGACCAAGGGGAAATATGATTGTTATCTTTGTCTATTCGCTGAAAATATGATTTTATATCTGCGTTAGATATCCTGTTAAATTTTACCATACCGACCATAAAATTTTTCCTACACTGTATATATATATATATATATATATATATATATAAATTATGATATAAATATAAATTATGATTTTTGAGGATGCAGTCAGTTTATTTGGCCCACATTTATATATATATATATATATATATATATATATATATATAGACATATTTTATAAGATTGACTGATCTGCCCGTTCGCCCAGGAATACAACTGGTCGAATTTTATAAACCAAGATATTCAGAAGCAAAACATGAGTTTATTACAAAGAATATTTATAATTTTCATACCACAATATACACAAAGTGGCTCTAAAACAGATGATCACTATGTTTGTAATCCATGGCATGTTGGAATTCTAAGCTTACAACTTAAGTTAATAAAAATCTTTTTTTTTTCATCTTCTCAGTAATAATTAAGTTTTTCTTCAAAGCTAGTTCTTTAAAGTAATATTAAGGTCGAACAAGTTTTCAAAGATAATATTTATATTAACGTTTAGTTCAAAATACATATTACATAGGTAACCTAACTTGTTTATACTTGATTATCTGATTTCTTTAAAACACAATTTTAAAGAAAATAAAATAGTCTACAACACGTTTAAAACTTTTTGGTTAGATTTGTAACATATACAGGAAAGTTATTTGTCAGTAATAAAATGAAATTTATAAATAAGGTCATTCAAAGTAAAATCTCATTTAACTACATGAAGCACTAAGAGAATTATTTTATTGAATTGTATATTGTTAAAAATATAAAATGTATGTATAAATCATTGCAAGAACAAACTAAACACATTTACTACAGAAGAAATTGGATAATATTTTTTAGTGTAGGATATATCAATTACGTTTTTTTTGCGATGGCTCTATAAACATTGATATAATTAGAAACAGAACTAAACTCCACTTTTCAGTATCTCAATCACAGTATATTGCTTAAATAATTCTTTATAAAGCAATTCTTTATAAAGAAAGAATTCTTTATAAAACAATATGCTGTGCCTGAAACAGGAACCTTATTGAAAAGACCAAAAGCGCATTTAACCGCATGCAGCGTGCAGTTAGACGTCCAGATAAGAATTCATACATACAAAGAAAGTAAAAATGTCTTTAATTTATTCGTATTTTTCATCTTTATCTAGCATTTGGATAGTTTTAATTAATTAAATGAAATTTTAGGCTACTTGATATGATCAATGTTATGGTTTTTGATTTCCACGGTGCTTTTGACGACTTTGTAGGACATATCTCACCACTTTATCCTGCTAAAATTGATTATGATTACGAAGATAATAGCACATACAACGTAGTAAGTATCCAAAATTTGTGGTCAAATTCCTAGTTTAAACGCATGACTAATTAATTGAAGCCTTTTGTAAAAAGTTTTAGTATACATTCAAGAATTGAAAAACATATGAAAACGATAAGAATTTTTTTCTTTTGTAAAAAATTTTTCTGTTTCACAAATTTTGAGCATTCGCAGTTATAATATTAGCGGACTATGGAAATTTCAAAATGTGCCTGAATGCTGTAGTAGGAAATCTTTAATTTTTCTCTACTATTTGTGTTCGTAGCCTAGATAATTAAGACGAAAGGCTACATTTCACAAATCTGAGTTTAAATGATAACTTCAATGTTAAGGAATTTCTAAATACATATCTTAGTTTGTATTGTGATTTCTTTGTTCACATTCAATTTCAACTTTATTTCAATATATCAATGTATATTTTTCTTTTAAAACATTTTTAAAGAAGATTCTCTTCTTAATAATATTCAGTGTTTTTATGGAGACTAAGGTAGTAGAGTCAATGTACAAAATGATAATCCGTTTGTCAATAGTATTAGGCATCGAGCAAAAAGACTAAAGAGGGAATGTAAAAGTAGTGGGGGCAAAATATTGTTAGACAGAAAGTGCCATCTTGAGAGGCCACATTAAACAAGGAAAGCGAGTCTTTCCTTGTTTAAGAAATCAAATTTAGTTGGGTTATGTTATTGTTTGTCCCAACTGTCACATGAAATCTTATTTATATTGAAGTTTTTAGACTATTATCGTTAATATTTATTTAAAGTTTCTCATCTAAGACACATTCTGAAAACTATTTTATAGCTACTGTTAATAAGTGTCGGAAAATTTAAATTTGGCGCATTCGCATTTCCGGATATATCCGCCATCAGAGGCCACTATTTTGGTCTCCTTTTCATAACGATTAAATTCCCTCTTTTGTCTTTTTGCTCGATGGTATTAGGTCAATATTTTATTTATCCTTTATCAAATAAAGAACTAAAAAATTATCATGTTCTAGCAGAGTGTCTAGTGAAAGCTTATATTAAGTTTAAGGATTAGTCTCGTTTGCATATACTTTATTTATATTATGGCTTAATATCATAGCTAGCGTCTGAGTGACCCAATTGTCTTTTTCTTTAGTTTTTTGTTTGTTGTTTTATTGTGATATTTGCGAGAAAAGATAACTATTAAATTAGTTGCAACTTAGAATTGCTAGAATTATTTTCAATATTATTATAAATTGATTTCTACCTTCTCCATTTACTATATAGATTGTTGCTCAAATATATTGGAGTTCTTCTGTACTTTTAATCTTAGAAAGTGTATAGTCTTGCCACCAATTGAAAAATTTTTTTTGGGGTTTTATCTAAGGATATATCCAAATTCTGTACGCTGTTGTCTTTTTTTATTTTCTACATGTCAAAGAACTACCCATCTTCCCCTATGTCTGCACGCAGTTAACTGATGTTATCCCTGTTAATTAATGTCTTATCAAAGACTATAAGTGCCAGACTAATTATCCTTTTACCTTATATTGCGATATTGTGAATATTACATGTTTCCCTTTCGTTTAATGTGCTCATTCATCTTTTAATACAATTAATACAGTTGTTAATATTTTCGACCATATTCTTTCGTGTCTTCCTCTAGCTAAGAATGTCTTTCCAGCTTTTATACAAAATATCTTTATTTATATGGTTTGTAATAGAATTTTGGTTTTTGATGCGTTTCATTTTATCATTCTTTGACCTTTAAACCCATTTTTTTGGTGGATTATGTCATATTTTATACCGAATTTCACGTTTTATGCCACGTACTACGTCACGTAGTATGTTTCGTATTATGTCACTTTTTATGTCATATGTTGTATGTCACTTTTTATGTCAAATGTCAAGTATTATGTCAAATGTCATATATTATGTCACGTATTACCGCGCGTCTACAATATGTGACATTTGACATAAAAAACGTGACATAAAACGTGACATAAAACGTGACATAATACGTGACATAATACCTGACATAAAACATGACATAAACATGACGTAATACGTGACATGTGATATAAAACGTGATATAATACGTGTCATCAAATGTGACATTTGACATAAAACGTGACATTCAAACCTGACATTTAAACGTGACATAGTAGACTCGCCCACCAAAAAATGGCTCCTCCACCAAAAAGGGGCCAGAGGTCAAAGTTTGGTGAAGTAGCTTACTACCTACTGACCTTAATTTTTCTTAAAAAATCATCTTCAACGATGGGGCACATTTTTGTGCACGATACCAATCCATATGAGATCCAAGAGCGTTCTATACATCCTGAAAAATTCACGGTTTGGTGTGGATTTTGGGCTGGTAGCGTCATGGGTTGATATTTCTTTGAGACCGATGTTCGCCTGGCTTTCATCGCTAACGGCGAGCGCTATAGGTCGATGAATACCAACTTATTTTGGCTTGAATTGGATGATATGAACACCCACAACATGTGGTTTCAACAGGATGGCGCTACGTGCTACAGAGCTTATGCCACATTATATATTGAACTAGCATCAACCCTGGACGAGCAATTTGAGGATATGGTTATCTCACGTGGAGGTAATATGAACTGGTCACCAAGATCGTCCAACTTGACCTCGTTAAACTCTTTTTGGTGGAATTTTTTTAGGTCGTACTTCTACGCGAATAAACCACAAACCACAGCGGTTTCCAAAGCCAACATAACTCACGTCATCGGTCAAATTTAGTCTGATTTATGCGTGAGAGTCATGGAAAATTATAGTAATTAGAGTATATTCCATACATAATGGCATCGAGTGGTCATTCAAACAAATAAAAAATTTCGATGGATTGCTCAAACACACTTTGTTTTATTTAAACTTAAAAACAGGAATCGCTTAATTAAAGATCCAATGTATTCTCAAATTGGTGTCTAGGTTAATACTGTATCGTTTAGATATTTTGTCATTTCTATTGCTCTTATTGTTTATTTTCGTAGATCGACCTCATCATCGCTAAAATCTAATATTTCTGTTATTGAATTTTGGATTCTATTTCTTGCTTCATAATTACTCCATCTACTTTAAATTTGCACTTCTTAGATATATTTAATTTTTTTCAGAGGTTGACATCATCACGTTAAAATATTGTACTACTGTAATGACTTTACTATTAAATTGGTGAACATGACAGTCTGGTAAATACATCGTATAGATCGTATTCGCTATCCGCTATTATCAATGGAGCATATGTCTAGCATACAATATTAATATGCTTGCTTTGTTGCTTTTCGTATTCCTTTATTTTATGTAACTTTCTTTTTGCTTGACCCACAGTGATATTTAATAGAAGGGCACAATATGTCTTTCTGGCAGATCCCATTTTCAGCTGGTATTTATTGAGTATTGAGTAGTTTACTTGTTTATCTCCAATTTTATTTACTTACCATTGTCAAGTTAGATTAGTTCATGTTGTGCTAACTTGTGATAAACACATGACATAAAATAAACTACGGAAAGCAATTCCGTATTAGATGAACTTTATAAATGTATGTCTTTGTAATTCGAGAGTATTTTATTCCTTCTTGTCAAATGTATTAAACCTAAAAATGAGAGAAGGATACTGTTTTACGAGAAAAGTCAATTCACGATATATTGATACTGTATTAGCTTACTATGAAAATACCATTTGAAGTTTAGATTTTACCTCTATTAAATTTTTATTTAATATTTTTGTCATTTTAAAATATTTCTTAATAATTTAAGATTTAAGAAGAACTCATTTAAGATATTAAATATAGATCTTAATTTTAACAGGATTCAGGAATCCAACATTGGTTACGAGGAGGTGCAGATGCTGCAAAAATAAACTTGGGTGTTGTCACGTATGGAAGATCCTTTACTTTGGCTGATAAATCAAATACCTCTCTCTATGCTCCTGTCAAAGGTGGCGGTAAAGTTGGACCTTATACGCAACAATCTGGATATTTGGGATATAATGAAGTAAGTGAAAGCTTGTAATTTTTAGAATTATTTTTATTATTGTTTGTTACACTACAATGTATTCAGTCAAGAAAAACACGCCTAGATAATCACGTGAACGCCACTTGCCACTTATTTATTCTGTTTAACGCCATTTAATCCATATTCTTTCAGATCTGTAAATACTATTCAGACTCAACTTACGTATGGGATGACGAACAGAGAGTTCCTCACAGATATTGGGATGACCAATGGGTAGGATTTGAAGATGAGAAATCTTTATCCGAAAAAGTAAACTATGCTCTTGAAAATAACTTGGGAGGTATGATGGTATGGTCATTTGATTATGATGATTTTAGAGGAGCATGCGGAGAAAAATATCCTTTATTAAAAACTATAAATAAAATAAATAATTAGTGTAATATTTATTATTTAAAATCTAGTAACATTTGTAAATTTAGTAATTTATTATTATACATAATTCTAGTATTAAAAAGTGAAAATATTTAAGTTGTTTATTTATAGTCTATTTAGGTTAGAACAAAATGGTAAACATAATTGGCGCCTACCGTTTAAACTATAGTTTAAACAACGGGGTTTCTCAGATTTTGTAATTAAAGACGTGATATTAGTACCTGATGAATAAATCTGATTTTTGAGACACTACGTCCAGTTTTAACATCTCTTTAAGTTTCGAATTTATAAATTGCTACTGTTCTTAGTGTTATATATAAATCCTGCATCGGAACAGTGGACACTTCGGTGTCTACTGTTTCGATGTAGGATTTATATGTGTCCAAAATTAGACAGGCTTGGGTGAGGTTATGTTATGTCGATGAGCAACTCCGAATGTTCACGCTGCTATGATTAAGTGAATTATATGTAACCGTTTTATAATTAAATAAATAGTTATATTTTGTTAATTTCCTCCTCCTCCTAAGTGCCATCCTCTATTGAGGTTGGCGATCAATATGGCAAATTTCTCTCTGTTCTGGGCTTGATGGATTAAGTCATTTAGGCCAGTTGTTAGGAGAGTAGCTTTTTGCTGTACATCCTTGCATACTTTTATTTGCTTGGTAAGTGACAAGCAACTTGAACAAAAATCCACCCGTGAGCTATCAAATCCTAAGTTATATTTTGTGTTAAAGATATATCTAAAGTATTGCTCTTTAACTTCAACAGTTTTGTCTTGAAAAGCTGTTATGTACATTCGCCAAAGTTTCCATACATTATGTTCAGATGAGAGATACTTATCTTATATGACACATCTTATTTGTACAATAATATGTTTCGTTACAGTTCATGCTATTCAAAAAACGCATAACACTAGCTTTTTTGCCTGTAAACTTGTGAGAAGTTCTGTCCCCCGCTTCCCTCTTTTGACATTTTACCAGTAGTAAAGTGCCTTTGGGCTAAGCGCTTCGTCTTAAACCTGGATATATTTGTTTCCAAAAATAAAGTGCAGCAAACTGTGACATTTTTCTTTTCATTCTTTCTTATAAAATATTTCGCTCTAGCTTGTACTGTATTCCTATTATTTTTTAGGACGCCTTCTGTGGATTTGCTGCATAGTCAAATGTTTTAAAATAAAATTATCTTGCGATATTTTATCCTGTGTTGCATAAGACTTTGAGTGTAAGCGTCTAATATCCTGGGCTGATATTGTTCTGCATAATAGTGCGCCACTATGGTGGCTGCAAGTCGCGAAGTTTGGGAAGCCTTTTGCCGTATATCTAAAAAAACGGAAGATAAACATCGGTTAGATTGGCTATGTTCAGCAAGACATCTTGAATTAAACAATGCATAGTTAAGATTAAAGTTAGGTTAAATACATGCAATTCTTTGCCACACTTCTCTTCCATTCTTCCGGTGCCTTCACTCGTTTTCTAGCAGTTTCACCAATACTTTTGTTTACTGGTCGTACACTTACATCCATTATTTTTGTATTTTATTACTTAAAATGTCTAAAAATAACGACAATAACTTAAAAAAAGTACTTCGCTTGTGTATAACTAATTCATGACAAACTAGGCCGAAAGATAAACAATGCCGCTAACAAACAGCCTAGGTGGCTCGTGACCGTACCCCCCAGTCTCATAGGCTGAAAGGTAGATCGTGAGTTCTGCAAGTGAATACGGCGGAGAATGTTAGTTTTGGGATAAAAACGCGATTTTCAGCGATTTTTATTCATTAATTTGTACAAGAGACTGTTAGTTCTGCTCTCTCAAACTTTGAAAAATTGTCTATTTCAATGGGAGAATACGAAACAACTAAAAATATATTTTTGGCAACAAGTGGAGAATGTGACTTTTGCATCTATACCCTTCATATATTAAGCTACATATCCCTTTTAAGCAACCATACCATACCTAATTCTTTCGTTATCATTCACTAGAAGACATCATATAGAGTATACTAATCTTTAGATAGCCAGACTTACCAAATATGCAAAAATACCAAGCATTTAGCAAAAAACTGTCCAGCAAAGGTATTTGTATCAGGGGACAAAACTGCAATACCTCACAAGAAGTATATAAAATATATATAAAATAGAGACAATCAGATGACTGAATAAGTGACTAGTAACATCTAACAGAAGCATACCCAACTGATCGGAAACTCTGTGCAACATGAAACACTAAGCACCAAACTCTTAATTAACCAAATAGAAACAGATCCTGTAGCACAAAAACACAGGAGCTTTCTGTACCGTCCTTAACTTCTTTATCAGAACATATTTTTGAATTACCAAAAAACAAAAATACCAAAACCAAGACTAAATTAAACCAAGAGAAGAAACCAAAAAAGACGCTAGAGGTAATGCTGAAACCAACATAAGAATTATTTAGAAACCAAAATTCCAGTTATCCCTTAAACTATAAACAACTAATAGATCTCTTCGAAAACTGGAGAGGATTTTCAGACCCACTAAGCATTGCAAGGATGTATACCAATGAAATTTCTGAAGTCACAGATCTACTGACAAAAATATATTCTAAACTAAATTACCGAAAAATTTAAAGTAGATGCATCCGAATAAGAAATAAAATTATTCGACAAATTAATCCATACTTCCATATCAAGGCAGACAGCGACACCTTTACGGATCGATATTAATATAATAATAACATTCACTAGTTTAATTCAATGGAATCTAAATAGATATTAAACTAATTTTTAAAACAACACTACACACAAACTAAAAAACTTTAATCGCTTCTTTAAAAATGTAAAATAGCCAGTGGAGGAGTAATTATATACATAAAGACCGATGTTAATAGCACAGCAAAACCACTAAAAATAAACATTGAGGAAATTAGTCAGAATCAAAGATGCAACTACATTTTCCGTATGCAACATATATATTCCCCCTACCAAGAACTTAACAATAAAGAAATATCGGACCTTTTAGACCAAATACCTACAACATGACTAATTTTTGCACAACGCATAAAATCCTTTATGGGGTTTAAAAAATTAATACCTCTTGGAACTTAAAAAAATCTAATTGGACGAAATTTCAAAACCATATCCAACACAACTTGCATGTCATAAATCAAAACAATAATATAAATAAAGAAGCAAATTTTATTTCAAAACTAATAATATATTCAGCAGATAAAAATATTGGGAAAATTAACTTCACCAGTAAATTCCATCTAATTTATTGGTAAAACCATAATATAAGCAATACAAGAATCCAAAAAAGTGTTTAATAAATTTAACGGCAGAAAAATGAACAAAACTCTTTAGAATTTAAACGATTAAGAGCTATACCCAGATTCACTATCAAAAAGTAAAAAGAATATCTGGTACACCATTACAATCAATAAATCTATTAGAGCAAAATAATATAAAATCCACAAGGAAAAAATTCCTGTAGCTGGCTGTATACCACGTATCACAAAAAAGAGGTTAGTCTTTGTAAATGGGTATATTTATTTAAAAACCCTTAAAAGGGCTACATCAATAAAACAAACGTTTTCGGACCACACAGTCAATCATCAGGTTTTAAGATCGAAAAATGCTAGGTCACAATGCCTGAGCCACCAAAATACTAGGGTAAAAACCCTTTAAATTACATTTAGTTATAAAAGATTGTACATTGTGTTGTAAAATAACTGTGATGTTCAGTATTAAATTAAATTTGACTAGAGGTAACACATGGCTGAATCGAGTTCCAGAGCCGGTGAGAGAGAACCTCTACACGCGGAGAACAGCTGGGAACCAGCTTTGACAATGAGAATACAGTTGATTTTCAGCATCAGATAGCCAAGCTTAATAATCCATGCAGGATCTTCACGGATGGATCTAAATCTAGATTGGGAGTCTTCTGGGTAAAAGGACACTTTGGTATTTCCGGTAACCTCAAAGCAGATTTTTATGCTAAAGAGGCAATCTTAAAAGGATCAGAAATAAATTGGCTAGATAGAAGCGATCTAACAGCCACTTGCAAGAAAAGTCTAAAACAAAATTGGGACATTAAATGGTTTGCTTTCTGTAATCGAAGCAATAATCTTTATACAAAAATTCATCCAGTTTTACCTACTGAGCCGTTTGCCGTAAGAAGTTACCCCAATAGAAATATTTATTCCATGTTTGTTAGATGTCTCTTTAACCATGCCACTGTTAAGACATACCTCTATAGACTAAATCTATCCGAATCAGAACTTTGTGATTGCAATGGTTACGTTGATAATATTAATCATTGGTTGTTTGGATGCAAGCATAATGATGATGCAATTAAATATTTGATGCACACCCTGTCTCAAGAACAAATACCTTTACCACAAAACCAAACTTCTCTTTTATACTTGTCTCGACGAAACCATAAAATACAACAAATTATTTGGGAATTTTTAAAAAGGACTAAGAGAAAAATCTAACTTGGATGAATGAGTCGGCTTGAATGTGTTTAGCAATTATTGTTTTTTATAATTAATCTTATGTAATATTAAGTACCTCCCTGTAAAATACGAACATTGTTATTTAAAAAAATAAAAAATATATATGTATATAAAAATAAAAAAAAAATAAAAAAAAAATAAAAAAAAAATAAAAAAATAAAAAAAAAATTATATAAATAAAATTAAAATATATATATATATAATATATATATATATATATATATATATATATATAAAAAATCATATATAAAAAAACGAAAAATTAAAGAAAAAAAAAGAAAAAAAATAAATAAATAAAAAAAAAAATAAATAAAAAAAACGATCACAAAGAAGGCCTAAACCTCCGAGATGTTGAACCGGGTTTATGTCTTAGCGCTGTGACAATTATTAATTATTAGAATTTAGTATTAGCATTTAGTATTATTTGTATATTTCTTATTTGTAAATTAATTTAAGTTGGTTAGGGTCCTGAATGAAGAGTTTAAATAGAGGTCAATTTAATGTTTCCACTTCCTTTTTGTATTTTTTTATTTTTATATAACAATACCTATATATGTGTGTGCGTGCATAAGTTTGTATATGTGCTGCGCATGTGTTAT